AAAAAAAAAAGAAAAGTTTTGTCAAGAAACTTTAGCCCATCCCCCCTACTGCTCTAATCTTGCCCCCTCGGACTGCTTTTGTTTCTCACATTCACAGAACAGTTAGCAGGAACATGATTTGCGTCCCTTCAAGATGCTAAAACGGCATTTTGTATGTGACCTGAATCAAGAGGGCAGAAATGAAAGAAAGCCCTTTTGGAAAAAAGTGCAAAGACCTCTATGAAGGATATGTTGAGAAATAGCTTCACGTCTTGATTGTTTTTGTAAGAGAAGTTTATATGACTACAGCCATATTTTGTACTTATCCTCCTACAATGCCAGACACCATCTGAGTACCTATAAACTGAAACCAAACCCACTGCCATCGAGTCAATTCTGACTGATAGAGACCCTATAGGACAGAGTAGAATTGGCCCTGTGGGTTTCTGACGCTGTAAATCTGTATGTGAGCAGAAAGCCTCATGTTTCTCCCGCAGAGCAACTGGCGGAACTGGACTGCTGTCCTTGAAGTTGACAGCCAATGTGTAACCCACCACACCAGTGCTCTGAGTACCTATACATGAAAAATAATAAACCTTCAAGTTGTCAAGGATTTTGTCTCGCTTGAATCCACCATCAATGCTCATGGAAGCAGCAGTCAAGAGATCAAAGGAGGAACTGCACTTAGTACATCTGCTGCATGAGACCTCTCCAGAGGACAGAAAAGCAAGGATGTGATGTGGAGGACGAAGGTGTGGCGCACTCAAGTCACAGTAGTTTTTCATCACTCCGATGCATGCGAAAGGTGGACAATGACTAAGGTAGCCCAAAATAGAACTGCTGTATTTGCACTGTGGTGCTGGGCAAGAATAACTTCCATGGACTGCTAGAAGGACAAACAGATCTGTCTGGGAAGAAGTTAGGTCAGAAGGCTCCTTGGAGGAAAGGATGGTGAGACTTTGTCTTACATACTTTGGACATGTTGTCTGGAGAGACCAGTCCCTGGAGAGGGACATCCTGCTGGGTAGAGGGACAGTGAAAAAGAGGAAGGCCTTCAAGCCATGGACTGACATCGTGGCTGCAACGGGGGAAGCACGGGAACCACTGTGAGGATGGCGCCCGACCAGGCAGTGTTTTGTTCTACTGTGCTGAAGGTCAGCGTGGGTCAGAACCAACCCGATGACACTGAACAACAGCTTAGTCACAGTGCTACATGAAACTCCTTAATGACACACTATTCTTAACGTCTGTTTCCAGCTTCCTCTGCACTATGTTCTTGTGAAACTTCTAGAGCACTGGGTCGGTTTGCCTTCTGTACACTTTGAACGGCCATCTTTCTTTCCACTCATGCCCCCCTGCCCCCCAACCCCGCCTCAGAGACTTACCTTTCCAGGGGAATCCGTGGGCCTGAGGCCGCCCTCTTCCCCACCCAGCTTTAAACTCTTTTGTATTGGGACAGGCGGAGGGACCGGTTTCTCCACCTCAGGGGTACTTTTGCCTTTTCCTTGGTTCCTCGGCTTCTTTTGCGCATGCTTTCTTTCTAAGAAAAGGTCATTTTCCAGCTTTTTACCCTCTTTACACTCCTCAGCCTTGCTGGGTTTCTTCTTTTTCCTCTTTGTCCTGACATCCGTGTCCTCATCCGTGCTCTCCTTGCCATCGGACAGCTTGTCAAAAGCATCAGGGAATGGATCCTGCCCCGGCGTTTCTTTTATACTTTTAATTTTTGGTTTCTCTTCTTGGGGGTCAGAAGGCAAATCATCATTTTCATCATCTTGAGAAAGGGAATCGTTGAATACACTTGATTCGGATTCTAACTGAGATTCAGAGCTTTTGTCTTTTCTTGTTTTTCTGTTTTCTTTGAAATGTTCTCTCATTTTAGTCTTTAAATCTCGGAGTTCACTCTTTTTAACATTCTTTACTTCCTTAATTTCTTTTGCATCATCTTTTTTGGACTTTTTAAATTCCTTCAGTTCCTCCTTGGCTTCCGAAACTCTTTTCTTTGTCCTTAAGTCAAAAACTACCCTTTCCAAGGCGCTCTGCAGGTCTGATTTGGACCTGTCTTTTACTCTCCCTGCCTTCGCTTTTTTCTTTCTCAGATCATCTGGGGTTTTCTCCTCTCTCTGTCTCAATTTTTTCTTTTTCTTCCTCGAGGGAGTATCTTCTGGACTCTCACTTTGCTGGTCAGAATCAGAGTTTGCTTCAAATATGTCATTATTGAAGGACAATCTCTGTAAGACACAAAAATATTTAAAATTCAGATTAACAATAATTTCCAAGGTTCTAAGAAGTGGAACTCATAAAATCTGGTTGAAATGCTGTGCCGCCCCAGCACTTTCTCCCCATCTCATGTTGGGGAGAAAGACAAGGCTTTCTACTCCCATAAAGAGTCTCAGAAACCCACCATGGAGCAGTTCTGCCCTGTCTATTGGGTCGCTATGAGCCAGAATTGACAGAGTGGCAGTGAGTTTGGTTTTGAGTTTAACTGAGGTCAAGCAACATTATGCATTTCTCTGACTTAGCAAATCGGCCAATTAAAAAAAAAAAAGCAAACCAACACAGACCCACCCACAGCAAACCCACTGCCAGCAGTCAATTCTGATGTCAAGCAAACCTGCAGGACACAGCTGCCCTGCCCTGAGGTCTCCCACGCTACAGAGCTTTCCGCACTGGTCTCTTCTTTGTCCTGAGGCACGTCTGGTAGGCATGCCACATCTTTTACCACGGGGCAGTGGTGTGTTTGAACCACTAACCTTTACCTTTCAGTTAGCCACAGTGTCCTTAACCACTGAGGCTCCTTTAAAATCACCAAGAAAGTACTACTTTCCAGAATTTCTAGTTGCCAAACAAGTAGCTACCAATCTTCAGGTAACTTCAAATGTTTTTTAAGGTCTTGGATTCCAGAATGTCCTTAAGCTTGTCACAGTTATACATGAACAACCACGACTGTACACAAATACTATTTCCCCAATTGATCTGATCTGTATTATATAATCTGAAATAGCTTCTTTGGAAAATCTATTCTACAAACACCACCAACAAAAAGGAACTTAAGAAGTTTTCAATAGAAATTTATGAATTTTCACAGCAATACAAACCAATTACTTAGACAAGGAATTTGCATGCATGTAAAAGGGGAAGGAAATATAAAAGAAGTATATATACACGTTCTAGAGAAATGAGCCATGACTATAGCACAGAAAGCAATGACGGGGGCTGAGAGGAGGGACTCTACATGAGATGGACACTCAGCAAGATGGAGTGACCCAGGGCCTCCAACAAGGGACTCGAGGTGAGACCTGTGAGGATGGCCCAGACTGGACAGTATCGTTCTGCTGAACACAGCGTTGCCGTGAGTCGGCACCATCTCAACAAAACCTCACAGCAGCAATGGACGAGAAGAATCGACTTGGTTCATTTCAACAAGCAGAATGCCCAATACAAGAAACGAGAAAGAAAGCATGATACCTGAACATCCTTCTTGGCGGGCTTAGCTTTATCAGCCATGTTCTTCCTAAAGTCAAGCAGAACTTCTTTACAGTCCTCAAGATGAACCTCCGGCTCCCAGGTGTCATCATCTGAAGTGTATCCTTTCCATCGGACTTTGTAAAGGACCTTGCCCTGTGGTACAAATCAAAAACAGCCACCCGTTGCTGACTTTATTAAATGTCGGAAAACATACTAGCTGCTGAGAGTACATTAAAGAAGTTGAGACCACATATAAATAGAGATTAATATCACAGAGTTATGTTTATATTCTAAAGCAGGTAGGTTAGAAAAATAGTATAACTGACTTATTTAGTATAAATCAAAGCTGAAACCGTTCTGATTACAAAAGCAATGTGTAGAGTTTCAAAAACATGAAATATAGAAACAACCTACCCAGAGATATGAAAGGTACTTTGATCTATGTTCTTCTATTATATACAACAAAGCTTTAAAAATCATGGAAAATTCCATCATCTTTAGCCCAACTTTCCCACAAACTTTCTGAAACCCTCTCAAATATGAGGATAAAAGTACCAGGATTCTATTCATATATGCATGAGTTTAGTCTAAACAAAATGTGTTTAAAAACAAAACAATAAAATCCAAAATGTGTTTAAGCACATCTTTGCAATCAGTGAATGATTGTGGAAAAGTTCTCTTAGTAATACACTTGTCATGGTTTGTAAGGGTGCATTTTTTAAAAAAGGATACTTTTTATGTCACAGGAGTTAAAAAAAAATATTTTGGTCAGGACTAATAGCTATTTTTTTAATCAAACAAAGTGGCTATCTTCTCAAATCACTGAAACATTGCATCAAGTTTATGAACACTGCCACCGTCCTACAATTTTCAGATGAATGGAATGTTTGAAGGATAAGCCAATAGGGGGAATACTGTCAACCTTCACAAAGGAAGCAACTGTGGCTGAAGTGCTGGAACTGTGGAAAACCGTACAATTAGCACAGATGCCAAAGCTACCGGAGTTGGAGTCTCACATGGCTTGGCATTTTCAATTTCAAGGACACATTTTTTCACCTAAGCAAGCTTTCAGTTCAATGGCCATCAAAATCATTGCCTGATGAACAGCTAACTCAAAGAGCTGATCTTTCCACCAGTGATCTAAGCAAGATCGAAGCTAACAAAGATTATTGGGAAAAAATCATTTTATTGGGGGGGGCTCTTAAAATCTTATGACAACCCATCATTCAATTGTATTAAGCACACCTGTACATATGTTGCCATCAACATTTCCAAAACATTTTTTCTACTTGAGCCCTTGGTATCAGCTCCTCTTTTTCCCCCTCCCTCCCCCATCCTCCTGAACCCTTGATCAATGATACATTATTGTTATTTCATATCTTACACTGTCCATTGTCTCCCTTTACCCACATTTCTCTGTTAGTCTCGTTCCCCTGGGGGGTGGGCTATTTGGCCAACCTTGTGATGGGTTCCCCCTTTCTCCATCCACCACTATCCCTCCTACCCTCACGAGATCGCTACTCCCACTACTGTTCCTGGTGGGTGGGTGGGGGCTATCTGTCCTGAATTCCATGTGTCGAGAGCTCTTTTCTGTACCAATGTGTGTACTTTGGTCTAGCGGGATTTGTAAGGTAGAAGTGGGTCATGGTAGTGGGGAGAGGAAGCACTGAGGAACTAGAGGAATGGTATGTGCTATACTACACCCTGGTTGATTTGTCCCTGCCTTGTAACCCTTCTGTGGGGGGATGTCCAATTATCTACTGATGGGCTTTGGGTCTGCACTCCAACTGCCCTCATTCACATCAATATAATTGTTTCTTCTGGATAAGCAGTTCTCAACCTGTGGGTCGTGACCCTTTTGGGGTCAAATGACCCTTTCACAGGGGTCACCCAATTCATAACAGTAGCAGAATTACAGTTGCGAAGTAGCAACAAAAATAATTTTATGGTTGGGGCATCACCACAACACGAGGAACTGGGTTTAAGGGTCATGGCATTAGGAAGTTAAGAAACATTGTTCTGGATCTCTTGATGCCTGATCCCACCAACACCTCATGATCACACAGGCTGGTATGCTTCTTCCATGTGGGCTTATTTGCTTCCCTGCTAGAAGACTGCTGCTTTAACTTAAAACCTGTAAGATCCCAGATGCTATATATTTTGATAGCCGGGCATCATCCATTTTCTTCACATTTGCTCATGCACCCATTTTGTCTTCAGTGATCATGTCGGGAAGGTGAGTATCAAAGAGTGCCAGGTTATTAGAACAAAGTATTCCTTGTGTTTAGGGAGGCCTTTACTCAAGCTATATGCCTATAGCTATACCTCTAAAAATAGCTTTTGCCTCCTAGTTCTTTCCTTCTATTTCCCTTCACCTTCCTCCTGTCCCACTATCATGCTCTCTCTCCACTCGGCTCTCAGTAATTCCTCTTGGATACATTGCACTTGATCAAATCTCCACCAGGCCTCCTTGCCATCATTTTTAGATCTCCTGTTGTTCCCTCATCCCTAAGTTTGTGGCTCCCACTCCCCCTCCCCAACCTGTCCTCTCCCATGTCCTCCTGGGACTGCAGGTCCCATTGTTTTCTCCTTGGGATTATTTGCTCTGCCTATCTTATATAAATATAGAGAGAAAGAAAAAAAAAATTAAAGCCCAGATGGACAGTTCCAGGTCTGTCTGCTGACTCTTAAGAGTGTTTTCAAATCGGGTCTGATGAGGTGCCAAGACCTGTCCCCAAAGTCAGAAGTCTATTTTCAGGAATCCTCGGGGACTTGGTCACTTAGCTTCCCTTGAACTCCATTCGCATTTCACCCTGCTGTGCATGGGGCAGACCGCAGTGTCTCCAGTGAGGTCCCCCATAGCACTATGGGTCAGTGACGGAATGCTGTGTCTCCTGGTGAGGCCAGCCCTAAGGTCCTCTGTGTGCATTGGCTGCTCCAAGCAGGGATGTGGGCCATGTTGAGGTTCTCTTCCCTCTCTCCCCCTGCATGGTTTGGACAGACATGCCACTTTTCCTGGGCTGTGTCTTTAGTGCTGTCCTCTGTATTATATTCTTCTGGGGAGGGGTCAACATAGCTCGGCTTGGGCCTGGTCCCCTCGTCCTCTTTGTTAGTTCACTGCTCCATGCCAGTCTGTTACCCTCAGGCTTGATGCCCAGGATGGAGACTGGTCCCTCTCTCCCACAAAGATGATTTTTATGGAACAAATAACAACCAAGAATGAGTCTTTACCATCTATATGGTATTTACCAAAACCATCCAGAGAGCAAGGTCTGATTAAAACAGTTGTTTGATCTAAAGGGCCAGTTAAAAAATCAAGACAGAGAAGTCGGCTCAAAAGGTTAAGGTGACTGTATCTGGGAATTCTAAAGGGTCCAGGGAAATCATGGGGACTCATTATAAATAGTTTTTCAGAAAATTGAAAACAGCAATTGTAGAAAAAGGTCAGGAAAGTTGTCCTGAGGAATGTTTTCCAACACAACAGTGCATCGGCTCATGCTTTAAGTGTAGCAAGGACTGTCTTACGAGAATTTCCCTGGGAAACCTTACCCCACCTACCATGTAACCGAGATGCTGCCCCGTCAGACTTTTCCTTTGTTGCCCAAACTCAAAGAACATTAAAAAGGGGGATGATACGAGTCTGGTCAATGTCCAAAATGCTGTTTGAATGTGGTGTAAATCAAAGAGTATAGATTCTCCAGGGAAGGGTTGGACTTATATATACTACAAAAGTATACAGATCTAAAATCGATGGCAAGGAGTGCAGGAGAAGCCTGGTGGGGCTTGACCAAGGGCAAGGTAACCGAGAGGAATTACTGAAACTCAAATGAAGGCTGAACATGATAGTGGGACAAGAGGAAAGTAAAAGGAACTAGAGGAAAGAACTAGGAGGCAAAGGATATTTATAGAGGTCTAAATACAGGCATGTACATATATAAATATATTTATATATAATGATAGGGAAATAGATCTATGTACATATATTTATATGTTAAGTATTAAGGTTGCTGACAGACATTGGGCCTCTACTCAAGTACTCCACTCCCTCAATGCAAGAGCACTTTGTTCTAATAACCCAACATTCCATGATGCTCACCTTCCCGACAAAAGCGCTGAAGACAAATGGGTCCATAAACAAATGTGGTGAAGAAAGCTGATGGTGCCCGGCTGTCAAAAGATAAGAGTATCTGGGGTCTTAAAAGCTTGAAGATAAACAAGTGGCCATCTAGCTGAGAAGCAACAAAGCCCACATGGAAGAAGCACACCAGCCTGTGTGATCATGAGGTGTTGATGGGATCGGGTATCAGGCATCAAAGACCCAGAACAAGAAAATCTTAACAATGTGAATGAGGGGGGAGTGCGGAGTGGAGACCCAAAGCCCATCTGTAGACAATTGGACAGCCCCTTACAGAAGGTTCACAAGGAAGAGATGAGCCAGTCAGGGTGCAGTATAGCACCAACAAAACACACAACTTTCCTCTAGGTCTTGAGTGCCCCCCCCCCCACTATCAAGAACCCAATTCTACCTTACAAATCCAGCTAACCAGAGCATGTACACTGGTACAGATAAGAGCTTGCAACACATGGAATCCAGGACAGATAAACCCCTTAGGTCCAATAATGAGGGTAGCAATACCAGGAGGGGAAGGGGAAGGTGAGGGGAGAAAGGGGAACCAATCACAAAGATCTACATATAACCCCCTCCCAGGGGGATGTACAACAGGAGAATGGGTGAAGGGGAACAGCGGTCAGTGTAAGACATGAAAAAAATTTATAGATCATCAAGGGTTCATGAGGGAGGGAGAGTGGGGGAGGGGAGAAATGAGCTGAGACCAAGGGCTGAAGTAGAAAGAAAATGTTTTGAAAATGATGATGGCAACAAATGTACAAATGTGTTTGACACAATAGATGTATATGTGTATTGTGATAAGAGCTGTATGAACCCCGATAAAATGATTTAAAAAAAAAAACTATACAGATCTAAGTGGAGGATACGTTGAGAAATAATCACTTCACATTTTGACAATGTGTTTAATAAAGGGTTCCATGATTTTGTAGCAATAGTTTTAAACTGATCCTAAATCTATTTGATGCAAATTCTAATTTATGAAATCTCAACAATTTGTGTATCAAAATTGATAAGTTGATTATAA